TCCACATTTCATTTCTTGAAAGTCGTGAGGTCTAAACAAAGAATTGGACGTCGATTTGACAAAAAAAAAAAAACCTCTTCAATTAGAGGGCGATATAATCGGCCGTCGATTTAGAGTTTTTTCTAAATTATTGCAACGTCAGATTGGACGTCGAATTGAGGAACGGACGTCGATTAGAGACCAGTGTCCTATAGCCATTTTTCCGGGGGGAAGAACTGGATCGATCCAGTCCCCCCCCTCAACGGAATATTTGGCATGATCCAACTTTTCCCCCTCAGCGTGATGGGGGACCAGGATCAGGCCTATTCTCCCCCTAGTAACACGATAAGCTCATGTCCCCCCCCCCTTGTAGTAACGTCAGCGACGTCAGTTGGAAATTTTATCCATTAAATGATGGTAACCTTCTTTTAAATAGTTTAGCGTTACCAAACAATAATCGTGGACACATAAACAGACCAGTGAACAAATTGACAGACTGGTGGTCCTATAGATAAACTAACTAGTGGACACACACCAAGACTGGTGGATGTGTAGACAGGCTGCATGTGGACATGTTAACAGATTGGCGGACCCATAGACAGACTTGTACACATGTCGACAGACTTGTGGACACATAGCTAGACCAGTGGATGAACATGATGACTGGCTGGTGAACATGTCAAACGACTGGTTGACACGTAGACAGACTGGTGAATATATAGAGAGACTTGCGGAGACACACAGACTGGTGAACATGTGACAGACGTGTAAGCCTGTCGACAGACTGGTGAACATGTGACAGACGTGTAGGCCTGTCGACAGACTGGTGAACATGTGACAGACGTGTAGGCCTGTCGACAGACTGGTGAACATGTGACAGACGTGTAGGCCTGTCGACAGACTGGTGAACATGTGACAGACTTGTAAGCCTGTCGACAGACTGGTGAACATGTGACAGACGTGTAAGCCTGTCGACAGACTGGTAACTATATACACAATATGGTGAACATGTAAACGGATTTGTGGACATATACACAAATTGGTGGACATGTTAACAGACTACTGAACATAAAGACAGACTAATGGACATTTAGACAGACGAGTGGCCATGCAGAAATATATTGAGATTTGTAGATACGTGGTGAAATCACCATACTATCTGGCATGCACACGCAAGCGGACACAGACGGCTGCACAAACTTAAAGTTCAATGTTTAATGTAGGGTAACTCCTTTAAATAAGTATTATACCAATGTCCGTTTTTCAGGATGTTAAATATATGAAAGGATGGAAAATTTCAACCCATCATATACCAATATTAATGGGTGGCAATTTTATCAAACAATATACATTTGTACATGTATCAATGGGTCATAATATCCTAATGAATATTAAATAAAATTAATCCTGCGGTGAAAGTGTTAATCTCTAAAATTTTTACAGTAGTATTTTATCATCAACAGTAAATATGAGAACACATTTTCTTGTAAGCCGTACGAATAAATCGAATTTTTGGACAGAGTCAATACTAGTAAATGAACGGGATATCTATCGAATGCAAACGGCACCCCTGTAACAAAAAATAGGTGCCCCATCCCTACTCCCCGACCCCAGACCTTTCATGTGACATGCGCCGTGTCGACAAAACGAACACAATTTGTACCCAATATTTTTCTATTGAACCTAAGCCGAAATACAGATTATTTTAGCATTCCAGGAATCAATCATTTCTTAAGAAAATGCGAAAAATATATGCAATAAATGGCCATAATTTGATGTAAATATATACATATATATAGTAAAATCTATATTGTGGGGGGAAATATGGGCATGGGGGAAAAGTGGCTATATGTATACGTATTGTCAATTTTCCGCGGGGGAAGAATGGCAACGATCCAAAATTTCCCCGGGGAAAAAATGAGATCATGGAATTTTTTCCCCGGGGAAAAAACTGGCATGGGGAAAACTATACAACACCGGTCGTCGATCTGAGTCCAATATATAGCTATATTGTATGTATATAAAAGTAGCACAGAAAAAAAAACAGTTTAACGATGGAAATTTAAAATTCAAAATTTGTCGTTTTTTTAACATGTAGCACGTTAGTTCTTGCATTTGACCAATAGCTAAGCAAGGATATATCAACTGTTTTTTCAAAGAAGTGATAACATTTGTCAACAAAAGTTGCAGGTTTTTGTAATTAAACCATACAAAACACATATTTTTAATGAAACGTCCATGCAGTCTGAAGACATTAGAGACAATTAAATATTATAATTATGCAGCTAAAATCACATTTGTTTTTTGTACTTTTCTAAATACTAGATATGCATGATAATAGACTATGTATAACTAAATCTGGAAGGTTTATAGTTCGATCTTTTTAAGACAATGATACATTAATTCTTTATTACTTCTATGCAATTGAAGATCTTGTTACTCTCAAATTGCTCGGTCACTGACGTGACCTCGCATAAATAGTATACCAAAGCTATTCATAACATAACAGTAACTTATCGATGAAGAAAAAATGCAAAAAAGAAAATAAGAACTAACTATTATCGTCGTCAGCCTTTAGAACTGCCTCATATTCGCTGTTTTCCAATATTCCGTCATGATTCGTGTCAAGACGAGCAAACCCTTTAGCTACCAATGCATTCAAATCATGTCCATGGACATCAACCTGACTGTAAAAAATAGTAATGCATTAGAGCATGGGGCTTTCCCATGGGTCATTTTTCTACAATATTGTGTTACTGCAACACATATGCTATAACCCTAAATTACTCATATGTAACCAACTAAAAATATATACATTTTTACGACATACAATAAAAAAATCTTTTTGTAGATTTCAAAACAATAACTATAAGTAGATGATGAACTGTCAAATTGGCAGAGGGATATTTTCATCAGCAGAACAATGTCAGGGGGAACATACACTGCAGAAGTATTGACTTTCCATTTAAAGTATCCTAGTAGGATGTACTTTCTGGAATCACTTGCTATTTATTCAAGTGAAATTTATAAGCAGTCGTTTTGGTTGACCATATGTAGATATTGTCTTACTGATCATGTTCGCTTTTTCAATTTCTGTTATTTTTCTGTTGGTCTTGTATAGTTGTCGATGAGTAACACAACGGTTGGCATTAGTTGAGCAGGATCTGCTTATCCTTCCGGAGCACTTAAGATCACCCCTAGTTTTTGGTGGAGTTCGTGTTGTTCAGTCTTTAGTTTTCAATGTAGTGTTTTTGTGAATCGTCTTTCGTTTTTTTTTTGTCATAGTGTTGTCACTTTCCGTTTTTTTTCTTAAGAGTTTTGAATGTTCTATTGGTATGTATAGCCTCTTTTTTTCAAGATAATAACTATAAACAAAATGGGTAAAACAGTAAATCAAAGGAAATAACTCCTCTTAGGAGTCGATTGACAATTCCAATCTAATTGATTTGTTTGTAGATCTTCTTCTGCTTATCAGTTTGCTATTAAATTTTTGTTTTGTTTTTGTTTTTGTCTTTTTATTATAAATTTCAAATAGAAAGCTCACATAAGCACCTATATAGAGTCGATTGACTATTTCAATCAGACGGACTCTATGTGAAATCTTTCATCGTTGATTTTTGTTGCTGTAACAGTTTCTGTCTATCCATCATAGTTTACAAGATATATAGGCAAAAGGGCTATACAGAAGATAGAAGTTGATCTCGATTATGCGAGTTTTTGCAAGATTTTCAAGATAGTATACAAATACTAGAATTTTATCCCTATGTTCTATTTTTAGCCATGGTGACCATGTTGGATCATCGGACATATTTTCTTCAATCAGATACTCTATTATACTTATATCCCTACCGTTATTATCTTAGGATGATTGTGGCCAAGCTAAGATTTAAAAAAAGAATTGGAGATGGCAATGAACCAGTTGAGCTAAAAATACAATAATGACTTACCAATAAGCATATCCAAAAAGTAGGGATAATACGACGAGCAACTGCATGGTGATCTAAAACAAAATATCAAAGATCCAAACAATCTATAGTGCTTGATAGTTTTACTGACAACACATTTGTTTCGATTGTAGGGCGTATTCGTAAGTCCATATGGACGTTTTTCTAAGTCAACATGGACGTACATTTGTATTCCCAAGTCCATATGGACATATTTCTAAGTCTACATGAACGTATTCCCAAGTCCATATGGACGTATTTCTAAGTCTACATGAACGTATTCCTTAACCTATATAAGTGTATTCCTTACTCTATATTGGTGTATTCCTTACTCTATGTGGGTGTATTCCTTACTCTATATGGGTGTATTCCTGATAGTTTTACTGACAACACATTTGTTTCGATTGTAGGGCGTATTCGTAAGTCAATATGGACGTATTTCTAAGTCTACATGGACGTACATTTGTATTCCCAAGTCCATATGGACGTATTTCTAAGTCTACATGAACGTATTCCCAAGTCCATATGGACGTATTTCTAAGTCTACATGAACGTATTCCCAAGTCCATATGGACGTATTTCTAAGTCTAAATGGACGTATTCCTTACTCTATGTGGGTGTATTCCTTACTCTATATTGGTGTATTTCCTTACTCTATGTGGGTGTATTCCTTACTCTATATGGGTGTATTCCTTACTCTATATGGGTGTATTCCTAACTCTATATGGGTGTACAAGAGCTACGGTTTCTTGTTGATAAGCGTACTTTCATCTTCTGAGAATATAACTATTAAGTAATTAACATTTTTTAAACGGATGATACTTTCGTTTTGTTGGCGTGGATACTTTTTAATCTGCCATACGATTGACCATAAAAAGGATAAAGCATGACTTTTTTCTGTAATTGCTTTTCTCATCTGCTACCAATTGCATTTAGATAAAAGATCGATATGTGGAGGCAAAATATGGCATCAATGGAATCATGACTTGAGGTAATGAACACTATTTCTAGTTATGATGGATAGTGAAACTAAGGTCAACCAAACTAAGTAAAACGTGATTTGTCATTTACCTGTATGAAAGATAAGACAAATGACTAAGCTTTAAATGCTATCTATAGTCTAGACTAGTCTTAGTAAGTCTTCACTTGGATCTAGGTGAGTGCTAAATTTATATCGTTCGAGATAACTTCAAATTTATCTTTAAATTTACACTGCATGAGGTATTTATTTGTACTTCAAATTTTACAGTTTCTTGGAAAAATGAATCCCACCATACTTTCTATTTCTATATGATACGTATTTTATAAAGTGGATAAATCTTAAAAATCGTATATTTTATTGTCGAGTTCTCCCAATGTACATGCATTTTGTCTGGTATTCTGCTTTTGAAACAGTTAGACTTTATACATATTGAACATATACTGGTCATCAATGTAGCACTAATTACTTGAAATCTATAGATGATGATTTGTATTGAGTACTAGAATCAGAAGATGGAATGCTATCAGTATATGACTTCAATAGGATCAGACAACGCTAAGTTTTACTTTCTGTTTTAAATACTTTTCGAGATCCTCTGGTTTTGTCGTATTGAAAAAAACTCATCAAAGATAACAGGCTTATAATTTTGTAGGCGTTTCGTCCATATAGAGTAAGGAATACACCCATATAGAGTAAGGAATACACCCATATAGAGTAAGGAATACACCCAAATAGAGTAAGGAAAACACTCATATAGAGTAAGGAATACACCCATATAGAGTAAGGAATACACCCATATAGAGTTAGGAATACACCCATATAGAGTAAGGAATACACCCATATAGAGTAAGGAATACACCCACATAGAGTAAGGAAATACACCAATATAGAGTAAGGAATACACCCACATAGAGTAAGGAATACGTCCATTTAGACTTAGAAATACGTCCATATGGACTTGGGAATACGTTCATGTAGACTTAGAAATACGTCCATATGGACTTGGGAATACGTTCATGTAGACTTAGAAATATACGTCCATATGGACTTGGGAATACAAATGTACGTCCATGTAGACTTAGAAATACGTCCATATTGACTTACGAATACGCCCTACAATCGAAACAAATGTGTTGTCAGTAAAACTATCAGGAATACACCCATATAGAGTAAGGAATACACCCACATAGAGTAAGGAATACACCAATATAGAGTAAGGAATACACTTATATAGGTTAAGGAATACGTCCATGTAGACTTAGAAATACGTCCATATGGACTTGGGAATACGTTCATGTAGACTTAGAAATACGTCCATATGGACTTGGGAATACGTTCATGTAGACTTAGAAATACGTCCATATGGACTTGGGAATACAAATGTACGTCCATGTAGACTTAGAAATACGTCCATATGGACTTACGAATACGCCCTACAATCGAAACAAATGTGTTGTCAGTAAAACTATCAAGCACTATAGATTGTTTGGATCTTTGATATTTTGTTTCAGATCACCATGCAGTTGCTCGTCGTATTATCCCTACTTTTTGGATATGCTTATTGGTAAGTCATTATTGTATTTTTAGCTCAACTGGTTCATTGCCATCTCCAATTCTTTTTTTAAATCTTAGCTTGGCCACAATCATCCTAAGATAATAACGGTAGGGATATAAGTATAATAGAGTATCTGATTGAAGAAAATATGTCCGATGATCCAACATGGTCACCATGGCTAAAAATAGAACATAGGGATAAAATTCTAGTATTTGTATACTATCTTGAAAATCTTGCAAAAACTCGCATAATCGAGATCAACTTCTATCTTCTGTATAGCCCTTTTGCCTATATATCTTGTAAACTATGATGGATAGACAGAAACTGTTACAGCAACAAAAATCAACGATGAAAGATTTCACATAGAGTCCGTCTGATTGAAATAGTCAATCGACTCTATATAGGTGCTTATGTGAGCTTTCTATTTGAAATTTATAATAAAAAGACAAAAACAAAAACAAAACAAAAATTTAATAGCAAACTGATAAGCAGAAGAAGATCTACAAACAAATCAATTAGATTGGAATTGTCAATCGACTCCTAAGAGGAGTTATTTCCTTTGATTTACTGTTTTACCCATTTTGTTTATAGTTATTATCTTGAAAAAAAGAGGCTATACATACCAATAGAACATTCAAAACTCTTAAGAAAAAAAACGGAAACTGACAACACTATGACAAAAAAAAACGAAAGACGATTCACAAAAACACTACATTGAAAACTAAAGACTGAACAACACGAACTCCACCAAAAACTAGGGGTGATCTTAAGTGCTCCGGAAGGATAAGCAGATCCTGCTCAACTAATGCCAACCGTTGTGTTACTCATCGACAACTATACAAGATCAACAGAAAAATAACAGAAATTGAAAAAGCGAACATGATCAGTAAGACAATATCTACATATAGTCAACCAAAACGACTGCTTATAAATTTCACTTGAATAAATAGCAAGTGATTCCAGAAAGTACATCCTACTAGGATACTTTAAATGGAAAGTCAATACTTCTGCAGTGTATGTTCCCCCTGACATTGTTCTGCTGATGAAAATATCCCTCTGCCAATTTGACAGTTCATCATCTACTTATAGTTATTGTTTTGAAATCTACAAAAAGATTTTTTTATTGTATGTCGTAAAAATGTATATATTTTTAGTTGGTTACATATGAGTAATTTAGGGTTATAGCATATGTGTTGCAGTAACACAATATTGTAGAAAAATGACCCATGGGAAAGCCCCATGCTCTAATGCATTACTATTTTTTACAGTCAGGTTGATGTCCATGGACATGATTTGAATGCACTGGTAGCTAAAGGGTTTGCTCGTCTTGACACGAATCATGACGGAATATTGGAAAACAGCGAATATGAGGCACTTCTAAAGGCTGACGACGATAATAGTTAGTTCTTATTTTCTTTTTTGCATTTTTTCTTCATCGATAAGTTACTGTTATGTTATGAATAGCTTTGGTATACTATTTATGCGAGGTCACGTCAGTGACCGAGCAATTTGAGAGTAACAAGATCTTCAATTGCATAGAAGTAATAAAGAATTAATGTATCATTGTCTTAAAAAGATCGAACTATAAACCTTCCAGATTTAGTTATACATAGTCTATTATCATGCATATCTAGTATTTAGAAAAGTACAAAAAACAAATGTGATTTTAGCTGCATAATTATAATATTTAATTGTCTCTAATGTCTTCAGACTGCATGAACGTTTCATTAAAAATATGTGTTTTGTATGGTTTAATTACAAAAACCTGCAACTTTTGTTGACAAATGTTATCACTTCTTTGAAAAAACAGTTGATATATCCTTGCTTAGCAATTGGTCAAATGCAAGAACTAACGTGCTACATGTTAAAAAAACGACAAATTTTGAATTTTAAATTTCCATCGTTAAACTGTTTTTTTTTCTGTGCTACTTTTATATACATACAATATAGCTATATATTGGACTCAGATCGACGACCGGTGTTGTATAGTTTTCCCCATGCCAATTTTTTTCCCCGGGGAAAAAATTTCATGATCTCATTTTGTCCCCGGGGAAATTTTGGATCGTTGCCATTCTTCCCCCGCGGAAAATTGACAATACGTATACATATAGCCACTTTTCCCCCATGCCCATATTTCTCCAGACGATATAGATTTTACTATATATATGTATATATTTACATCAAATTATGGCCATTTATTGCATATATTTTTCGCATTTTCTTAAGAAATGATTGATTCCTGGAATGCTAAAATAATCTGTATTTCGGCTTAGGTTCAATAGAAAAATATTGGGTACAAATTGTGTTCGTTTTGTCGACACGGCGCATGTCACATGAAAGGTCTGGGGTCGGGGAGTAGGGGTGGGGCACCTATTTTTTGTTACAGGGGTGCCGTTTGCATTCGATAGATATCCCGTTCATTTACTAGTATTGACTCTGTCCAAAAATTCGATTTATTCGTACGGCTTACAAGAAAATGTGTTCTCATATTTACTGTTGATGATAAAATACTACTGTAAAATTTTAGAGATTAACACTTTCACCGCAGGATTAATTTTATTTAATATTCATTAGGATATTATGACCCATTGATACATGTACAAATGTATACTGTTTGATAAAATTGCCACCCATTAATATTGGTATATGATAGGTTGAAATTTTCCATCCTTTCATATATTTAACATCCTGAAAAACGGACATTGGTATAATACTTATTTAAAGGAGTAACCCTACATTAAACATTGAACTTTAAGTTTGTGCAGCCGTCTGTGTCCGCTTGCGTGTGCATGCCAGATAGTATGGTGATTTCACCACGTATCTACAAATCTCAATATATTTCTGCATGGCCACTCGTCTGTCTAAATGTCCATTAGTCTGTCTTTATGTTCAGTAGTCTGTTAACATGTCCACCAATTTGTGTATATGTCCACAAATCCGTTTACATGTTCACCATATTGTGTATATAGTAACCAGTCTGTCGACAGGCTTACACGTCTGTCACATGTTCACCAGTCTGTCGACAGGCTTACAAGTCTGTCACATGTTCACCAGTCTGTCGACAGGCTTACACGTCTGTCACATGTTCACCAGTCTGTCGACAGGCCTACACGTCTGTCACATGTTCACCAGTCTGTCGACAGGCTTACACGTCTGTCACATGTTCACCAGTCTGTCTACGTGTCAACCAGTCGTTTGACATGTTCACCAGCCAGTCATCATGTTCATCCACTGGTCTAGCTATGTGTCCACAAGTCTGTCGACATGTGTACAAGTCTGTCTATGGGTCCACCAATCTGTTAACATGTCCACATGCAGCCTGTCTACACATCCACCAGTCTTGGTGTGTGTCCACTAGTTAGTTTATCTATAGGACCACCAGTCTGTCAATTTGTTCACTGGTCTGTTTATGTGTCAACGATTATTGTTTGGTAACGCTAAACTATTTAAAAGAAGGTTACCATCATTTAATGGATCAAATTTCCAACTGACGTCGCTGACGTTACTACAAGGGGGGAAATGAGCTTATCGTGTTACTAGGGGGAGAATAGGCCTGATCCTGGTCCCCCATCACGCTGAGGGGGAAAAGTTGGATCATGCCAAATATCCCGTTGAGGGGGGGGACTGGATCGATCCAGTTCGTCCCCCCGGAAAAATGGCTATAGGACACTGGTCTCTAATCGACGTCCGTTCCTCAATTCGACGTCCAATCTGACGTTGCAATAATTTAGAAAAAAATCTAAATCGACGGCCGATTATATCGCCCTCTAATTGAAGAGGGTTTTTTTTTGTCAAATCGACGTCCAATTCTTTGTTTAGACCTCACGACTTTCAAGAAATGAAATGTGGAACAAAGATAAATAAAACATTATCTAATCAAACTTATAATCTGTTTTCGGTGGTTGTCTTGTTGTCATTTACACATGTTCCTTTCTTTATTGAAAATAGATTCTCTGAGACGGGATGCAGTCTCCTGTGTTGTTCCTTTTCATAAGTCCACTAAGTCATAATGATTGGAAATTATATATTTTTAAGATTGTCTGTTTAGGCAGCAATATACGAAAACAAAATATTGCAAAAAGACTGAATATACCTGGTTGTCAAGACATTTATTTAAATACTATAAATTGTATTTCAAGACATGGTTAAATTTCAATTGTACTATAGATTTATCATTATAATGTTTCTATTGCTTCAGGTGACGGAACGTTAACATGTGATGAATACGTAGCTCACTCGTCTGCTCCAAAGGCACTTGCCTTACAAATATTTAGTAGTTTTGATCCTAATAATGACTGTTCTCTGACCCATGCAGAAGCTTTGACCATACTACATAAAATGGACCAAACAGGTACTCTTTAGTTACAAATCACAGCGAATTCTTATGAAAGTATTGATTAATCTAATTCATTTAACAATTTGAAATGTTTATTTATTTGTATCTTTCCATTTGCATAATAAAGTTCTAAGAAATTGTTATATCATTCAAATAAACTTTGATACTTTTGTAAGTGAACATCAGAAATACAACTGAAATCATACAATAACGGTATTAATCTTACACTTTTTTTTTTATCTACTATGGATTTTTTTATTCCAGACAAAAGTTACAAGAATTGAAGCAAGATTTTTACAATGAAGTTATACAGAAAAGAGATATAAAATAAAATACAATGCTAACGCACAACTTACACCCTTATCGTTGTACGACCAGTTATCAATGTTTTATAGGCTTTTTCTATTATATGGCGAAGAGTATGATAAAAAAAAAGGTGCTTGTTAGTTGATTTATTCATTGTAATATATGCATTTCATTTTTACAGGAGATGGACAGGTCAGCGAACATGAGTTTGAACATTTTTACCTTCAGGTAAGACTATAAGTATGGTAACACCCAGTGCTCAAGATACTGGCCATAAATGTAACACACAATTTCTTTAAGATAAGATTTTTTATTTAAATTACCAATTGAAACCGATGGTATCTTAATTATTAATACTGAATATCTTTTTTTAATACGTCTATGAATTTCTTTTTTATAGTTGCTTTTGTATATACATTGCCTTCTATAAAGTATTGTTGCTCTCTGGACATCTTTAGGGTTATTTTTGTCTTTGGGCTGCTGTCTCATTGATGTTATACCCAAAATATGCTTTTATTCACATTTACTCTTGTATTTTTTAATGTCTGTCATATTAAGATTCAACTGTTTGTTTGGCGGAGAAGTCAACAATAGTAGAATAATTTATACATGGAAAACATATTTGACGACAAATGACATCTCCCCTAATGCATTTGTTCAAAACATTTTATAGATGACCCACAAGTCAACCAATGTTTGTGTATTCTTTTTAAACCATGTTTATATGGAAATATGCAAGAAAATTTGAATAAAATTCTAACAACATATATAAAATAAGTAGATGTGGTATTATTGCCAATTAGACAACTATCCACTAGAGCAAAGACAGTTGGTTCCTGTTTTGTATTGAGAGAATTATTAGTGTTTGTCCCATTGACTTAACAAACCTGATTTTTAAATTGCACTAGAATTTCATAGTTATAATACTCAACAAGACAAAACATCAAATTTTACAGCAACACATTTCACTTGTGTGGTGATTTCATCATCTTTTATTTGTGCTGGCGTTGATTGCGTTCGTAAAAACAACATGCTTACCATTCCGAGAGTGAAAAATCGTATTTATGTAGAATATCATTAGTACAATAATTTCTTTTACTTCTGTCTGTTGTTGGAAAAGTTTTTATGGATTTTGTGTTTGTGCGTTCATGGAGAGAGTAAATCAAGAAAACCTCTTTGAAGGACCAAATTTATATAATGTCTTATATCCGTTTTTTTAAGTCCCATTAGTGAATAAATATTGTAAATATAATATGCTTATCGAACTATTTTCCTTTAACACACACACACCCTCACATATATATATATTCACATATGACGCTGACGAAGGCTATTTGTTCAGCCGAATTATTTGTCAACACGATTTTATAACATCATCTTCGTATATTACCATTTCATATTAGTACCGTTGCGCAAATCTTTAGACTTTTATAACTCTTCCTTATCTGCGCAATACCGTCTATTCTAGAAGATCCGACACATATTAAATTTGCTGGTTGGTCCTTTTTTATAGACTTCTATATATATATATATATATGTTAAAGATCATAACAAAATTATATCATTCTTTTCAGCTCATGAAACATCTTGGCCACGTCACGGATCATGGTCATCAAGGTTGATCTGTAAGTTCTATGTTAATTATGATTATTAACAATATGAAATGGAATAATATTGTATCATTTTTATTTTTGAATACAAAAAGATACTATAACTTTATCACACAGAATGTATAAGATATTGCATAACTATCCTCTTGTCCTATTTAAAGCGCATGTAGACTTCTTAGCTCCGTAAAACATTTGTTTGAAATGCACAAAACATGAAGAAATCAACATCACATCGAAGGCAACCAATTAAAAGTCTCGAGGACAGACATTATATACCAAGAGCACTTAAAACGATATATGTCTTATGTGTTTTATTGTGTTGATGGATTGCAGTCCCATTGACTTTTACTTCACATCTCTTTTTATTCAAGCTGATTGCATTTCTATAGACAGAAATATGTTATAATATAATAAAAATACCAAGCATCTAGAATTATAGATAGTTTTTTCTGGAACTTTCACTGATTGGTAGCTAGTTTAAAATAACGTAACGTCATTAATAGCTTCCATTGATGCCATATCCGATCACGGGGCTTAAAACAAAAACGAAAAAATGAAAAATTTATAGGAGAAAGAAATTATTCCTCTGTTGGATAATGAGAAACAATATTTCTCTGATCTCCATATTTTAATATAAAAAGTTTGATACGCACACTATATATAATAAAACCTCGAATGTAAAAAACTGAAATTCGAATATCTTGAATAAAGGCAAAAGAAGGAGAATGTATGTTCAAAGTTATTAGTACTGTTGAGAAAGTGCTGTAGTTATAACTGGTGGTAGTAATAAGAGTAATACATGTAGCCGTGATATAGTTGGATAGTTATTCTCCATTCAATTCACCAGATTAAAAGACTGCGTCACTTAGAGAAATTCTCTCAAAATCAAATATTTTATAAATGTACAACAAAGTATCAGAGAAGATTTCTTGACCCGGATTATCTTTTCTTCAACTGAGCGTGCTGTCGATACGTAGACTTTGAAGATACGCCCTTTCAGGTAACTCATTTAGCAACAGCATACATTGTTACAGCATTTAAACTGTAAACAGGAGCATAAATAAGATAAAAATCATCAGCAATATAGCAGAACTAGATAGTCAGTACTAGAAGAAGCTTATGAAACAGCAGTACACCAGAAAGACAAGTGGTAACAATAGAAGTACCAGTTGTGGAGCCCTACATTTGTTGTAGAAGCCTTAGTGCAACTGCTTCTTCTCCTGTTCCTGGTGTTTGTTTTCGTCCACTGATTAGAATGCACTTTATAATGTTGTAAAGGTGTATGGAAGTATATAAAAAGACGAAAATGTTTGTTTCACTTGTCAAAATACAATAATACTGTTCTGATGATATTATCGGTATGGCATACTAATGATTGTTATCATTTTATGTTTCAGCTCTCCTTACTGACGCGACCAGGTACGCAAATGGAGACACAAAAAGTTTTAATAAAGGACAAGAATTATATCTTTCCATGTTAACAGGATAATAAATTGAAAGGGCGTTAGAATCGCATTGTGGTAGTGTTCCTGCCTCAAATGTGGGAGGATGTAGGTTCGATTCCCGGATGCTACATCTCCATCAAACACGCGGCATTAAGGAGTTCGAGCAATTGGTAAAATCTAAAGTCAGAAAAATGTGCCTGAGTAGTGAGATAATGTCAACATACGAATTGTTACTTTCTGAGCGAGCATGCTTAAAATCCGACTCAGCATGTCGGTCATGAGCAAAGCAGGATATATCTATATCTCATTAATATGTTGCCATTGAACGTTAAGCAATCATTAATTAACCAACCAATCAATCAATAGATTACAATGTTTAGCTTTTTCCCTTTTTACTTATTAGTTTTGAAATAGGAAGGGACATTTTCTCCGGCATTTATTTCATACTGGGGTCATTTTTAAAAGCCCTCCCCCTTCCCCCCAAAATATTTCATCGAATGACATTTTTACAAAAACAAAAATTCTATCGGAAATTAAGCTATGTATTGTCTTTTAGAATCAAACTTAATTCATTCTGATAAATAGTATCATACGATGAACAGTTTAACAAAAAACATTTAAGAAGACAGAAAAATATTAAGGGGGCAATATCAAATAATAAAAGTCCAATAAAAAAGACATCACCATGCAATAAAGTATTTAGCGTACTGATTAAAAATGAATAAAATAAAATCGTTATTAAAATGCAAGCAATAACGTATTGGCTTTATAAAAATACGTAAAATAATTGGTAGTATGTTGTTTCTCCCTAATACTCATATTCCAATAAATGTCCAACAATTGTCTGTTTTTAAACCCGTGATTAATAAAAATACAGGGGAAATCGGCCTGTGAATTATGTCAAGATATCAAACTTTATTGTTCAGTATATACATATACTGTTTATTTCCCCCAAATAATCTTTTACACCTTCTTCTGCGTTGTGTTCTGCAAATAAACTACAACAAAAGAAACAGAAATACACATCGATGTCAGATCTTTGACATCTTTGTTTTTTATATACTCACTTCTTCTAGACTCGGGACAATTTAATAAGAGTTTGACATATTGTATAGACACTGTCTGTTATTGAAACCGTATGCTGACTTACAGATGTATCTTGGTTTTATTTTTGTGTTGTTGAGTTGATGTAACATTAGTTCATACCCGACAGCTAATTTTACCTCAACAGCAAATGTTGGGGTAAATAGGAATCGCCCCGTCTGTCTTCCCGTTTGTCTGACCATCTACCTGTCCTTAGTACCTTTTTCAATTAAACACTATTGTTTACAATCATATATTATGTGTCAATTCTGCATCACGGAAGATTTTTTTCTTCTATCAGTATTTCGAGGAATTTGCCCCTAATCATTTTATACTGTTGCACTTTTTGGACGCAACTACTCTAAAACAAGAAATTAAGTGGTCTCAACGATCATCTTAAAAGATATAATGAAAACAACTTATAGAACATAAGGCAGCATAGGATAAGTCTTTAGATTCCTCATCAAACATTTCTTTTTCGATCCTGTACTGTAAAACGTACGGACATAAAAGATTTCAATAAAACATACATAGGGGCAAAAGATACCAAAGCGATATTCAAACTCATAAGTCGAAAACAAACTGACAAGCCATGGGAAAAAACGAAAAACGACGAAAAGATAAACAATAGTACATGAAATATAACATAGAAAACTAATGACTGAGCAACACGAACCCCACCAAAAAAACGGGGGTGATATCAGGTGTTCCGGAAGAGTAAGCAGATCCTCCACATGTGACCTCCTGTCGCATGTTCCAATGTAAACGTACACACTGTAAAACCTGAGATAGTCTAATTATTGAACCTGTTTTCAAAGTTACGTAACACTCAATTCACCAAGCATGTGAATTGGATTGCTTCCAATATTGTGTACCGTTTTGTATGTACTTTATGTTAACTGACCTATGTCTGTGAACTACGACCATATCTAAACAAAAGAATGATTATGTATAATCACCGGTTTAGTATTAAAAATGAAACAGATAACAATAAATTTCTCTAGAAACACCTTAACCGTCCTGACCATTCCATGTTTCCTGTTAAAATCAGAATTATATAAAAAAATGTATCATTCAACATATGGCCCCATATCAAGTAACCCATATTGCTAAAAAAGAGAAAAAAAATATGGATTCAAGAATTATGAAAAGCTGTTAAATGTAATTACGAATGGAACTACAACACTGATGGTTTAGATATTTTGTCAAATGAATCATGTGCAAAACAGTGTAGCCGAGACCATTGATTGGCGCGCTAAAATATCCCATTGACTGGGTCAGATTAGGTGAACGTTCGTCTGTAACGCCCACAACTCACGACGTATTTATTATAAACATTTAAACTGTGGGGTTGCCAAAGGGTCTCAGTATATATATACGAACTACAGTGCACGGTATATTATATACATATTTTATTTGCGATCATAAAATGTACGAAGTCGTCCATTACTATGTAAATTGGGTCGATTAAAAAAAAAGCTGAATATGTTTCTGTTGCCAAGGGTTTTTCACAAGTATAGTAGTTAGCAGAAAAGATCATCAAACTATACATTGTATACTGAACTGCGGTCAAGCTTAGCGAAAGGTCGTGCAACATAATCAGTCAAACAAACTTTATTAGATCAACTCGTTAAGTAACGATCGTTTTCATTTGTCAATTCAAACCTTCGACCTCACACCTGCGAAAATAGAACACGCGAACTATAAAGCTGAATGGACTGATCAGTATTCACGTAGCCGGTCAAGGTCGTTAAAAACTTCCATCGTCGTATTCACGTACATGATTGTGTTCTTGATTATCCCATGGCAATTCTAGCTTTTATACATGTGCATGTAAAATTTTAAACTTTAATCTTAACAGTCACGTCGAAATATTCAATTCAACTGTCTCCTCTCAATTGGTTCTGGATTAAGGGAGCTACCATTTTATTTTGATTGGGGGTGGGGGACTTGGATGAAACATTTTGTCCTGATTTTTTTAGTTGTTATCTCTGTCCTGTCTTTCTATTTTTCAGTCTGTTAGGTCCTGACTATATTTATTAGTTTATCCTGATTTTTTTACATAAATCGTCATCCTGCCTTTTTTTTGTCAAGTTGCTCACCCTGCCTTATCTTTTATTCAATGGACTTGATGAATTAACGTTGTACTTGAAGTGAAACCGTACTTAACTACAAAAATAACCAAATTACATACTAAAGATATTGCTCGATTTTTATAGTAAATGGGTTTGTGTTATAAACTGTTATGTTCATTATTCATATTCTTTCATAAGTTTTAGGATAGTGTGATTTTTTTTCTGATTTAGTTAACTTGATTTTGAAAAAAAATCCCGAAATTCTAAGTAAATTCAGAACATGTAACCAGCCATGCTTTGTTTAGAGAAAAAATGGAGATGGCAAACCATGGCACAGTGGAAGGAAATGTACTTTATAAACTCCAGCGATTTACTTTCTTAATTTATAATTAACTGTTTTGCTATCCTCGGTTGAAAATTATATATTGTAAATATTTAAATAGTTGCATAGAAAACAATCAGTTTTAAACAGTGTGGTTATTCACTAAATGTATTGATAAAAGGTGACTCCATTTTTGTACATACTTTTACAGTAGTCATCCTTAATTTCTTAATATTTCGTTTATAAGTTTATCATACATGTATGATTTTGTATTTCATTTTAATACACAGTACATTTATATAGTTCCTTATAAACTACGACATTTCTTACAAGTATTTATTTATTTTTTAGTTCCACACATGCAAAAATAAAATCTTCGCCGATGAAACATTTCAAACCTTTTTACACCAACATGCCTTCACTGAATTCATTTGAATTTCGTGGTGACCATGATAGTACATTGCATAGTACATCTATATTCACGTGCACACATGATACGATCTTTCGGGGACATTTTGCTCGTTTATGACACGTCATTTCTGATGACCAAACGCTTAGCTACTTTATTTTCGTTTTATAGCATGAAAACAATAAAAGAGGAATGTACAACCCATCATAAATTTGAAATGGATCAGTATTATGAGATCCTTATTATAAGTAACTACGACATTGTCAGAATAATAACCTAGCGTCAATATGAAAGAAATTAAAGTGGTTCATACATTCATCCGTATAAAAGCGGCACATGTATTTTATTTTATCCTTATATTTTTCATAGTGCGGTACAAGTGCTGCATGCATAAAGAATATTACACAAATTATTAGTATAATATTTCGACCCCACTATTTGAAATTCACAAAATACTTTTTTAATTATTTCGACCAAAAATCATTGTTTTTTACGTTCGTAGTAACGTAGTACATTCCATTGTCGGTCACCTGTGTCAATTCACGTGCACACTACAATTGTTGTTGTATCTTTCGGCCAATGAAATGAGACGTTACAAGTTGTTTGTTTGTGATACGCCAGAATGTTATCAATGAATTATCAATCGCTAAACTTGACTGTACCTATTCAAAAACGTAAATGCAAATTTCACAAGGCTTGATCCAAATAGCCTTTTTACTGTCTAATAACTTGCAAGTACGAAAAAGACAGGAAAGAAGTATATTTTGTCTATATGTTTTGTGTTTGCACACTTTTTAAAGTTGATCATGCATTCGTTCTAAAATAAAATTTTGACCAGATAAAAGTTAAAAGATGCCATAATTGGACAACCGCAATTGTTAAATCGCTTTGACGTCCGAAAAAAAGATAATAATCAACACATCCATTGTAACTTTTAAAGCCAGTTAAATCCTTTTTTGCTGAAAGAACGTCCGATATCATAAAAATTCATTATCAAAACATAACAAAAACACAAGTAAAGAACGTTTAAGTATTCAATATAAATCAAAACACAAAGGTTATTCCTGATAAGTATTTCGAATTATTTTATTTAGGCGTTGAGACCCTTTGGTGACCCCACAGTTTAAATGTCTATAATAAATACGTCGTGAGTTGTGGGCGTTACAGACGAACGTT